CATCTTCAAGCAAATCCGGATGAACCCAAAGGATTTCGCCGTTGGGGGCTGTGTGAGATACGAGCCCCTTCTGGCGCTGTCCATGAGGGTCATCGTTGATGGTTTGCATCTTGACCTTTGATACTGGCTCGGCTTGAAACCAGGACAAAGGAACCGATCCGAAGCTAATAGAGACCGCGTTTGCGCCTACCTTCTTCTCCTTTGGCTTCGGTGTCACAATACCAACATCAATCAATGTTTGAATTTTATCCTTTAAAACATAACATGTCTTAGTAGGATGGTGGACCCTTCTGTGATATGCACAATACTTTGGGTCATTGATCTTCGTTGCTTCTTCTTGGTTTGTGACCGGTGGAAGCTTGATCTTGTTGTTCTCTAACAAGTATTTGAAGATGACCGGAACTTCATCATCTTTGAAAGAGTATTCCTTTGGGAATCTGGGCTCAGAATTCTTAAACTGCTTCGAAGGCTGTTGATTCTGGTTTGGCGCCAACTGGAAGGATGATTGTTGCGGTTGTTGCGGTGGCTGTTGTGACGTCTGATGTGCGTCCACAGCGGCTACAGACCCTCTTCCTCTGCCTCGAGGGTTAAAGTTCTGCTTTTGATTTTGATTCTGATTATTAGCTGGTGGCAAACCTCGCTCCAAATTCTTTCTCTTGAGGAAGCGTTCAGCTTGTTCACCTCTTACTTTCATCTCTTTCCAAGTTTTAGAGGGAACAACCCCCACCACTTCTAATACATCCAAGGACAGATTATTATGACATGTTTGCAGAATAAATTCCTCAGTGAGTGGATCTCTGCAGTTCACCGCTTTGTCCCGGAATCGTTTGACAAAGACATCAACCGATTCCCCATCCTTCTGCTTCTCATCCAACAACGTGCCGATCGAGACTTCCGTGTCGTCGTCGAAGAAATTGGTGAGGAATAACTCTTCCATGTCTGCCCAGCTAGTGATACTCCCAGGCTTAAGGCGTCGGTACCAATCGAAGGCAGGCCCGCGAAGGGTTCCTACGAATGACCGGACCATCAGGGCTTCGTTCCCAGATATTGCGCCGAGATGCGACTTGAAATAGATCAAGTGCTGAGTTGGTGAACCCCTGCCATCAAAAGGAGTAAAGTTAATCAAATTAAATTTCTGGGGATAAGGAATCAGGTCCCACTCCCTCGGGTACGGGTATGGGATGCCCGTTTTCTTCACTTCTTGAGCCGTCATCAAAGCGTTGACTTTGCTCTCAAGATCGTGCATCTTCTTGTCCTCTTCCTCGCTTTTCTTCAAATAGATCTGTGGAGGTTGAGTGGCTGACTTGGTCGGATCGCTTCCGGAGTTGTCTTTATCTGGAGGAGGATCGTCAAAGATAGTCTCATCCTCTTCATTACGCCGGCTGGATTCCGCCTTCTGGCTCGACTCCGGTTGGTGTTGCTGAACCTGCAAGTCTCGCATCTGCTGCATAGTCAACTCCATTTCGGTTTTGAACTCAGCTCTAATTTCTTCGCGTTGTTTAGCCAACGCTTCTTGCAGCATTTGAGCTAGTTGATCCGGCGTGATCGCGAATGATTCTCTGGCTCGTCCAACACTGGATGCGGTATCGTCCGATGCAATAGCGGAACAAGTATCCGACAATTCTTCATCTGAAGATAAACCCTCGTGCATTCTCCTGTAATCTCGACGTAAGTTGGCTCTTCTTTGTAACCGCGCCATCCTTTGAGAAAGACCCCGCTCAACTCTCCCTCCCGGAGAGAAATCAGGGTCGTAGTTAACTGACTTTTGCTTTCCTTTATTGGTCATGTTGATAGTGACCTCAGGGAACTCATCTTGTCGGATTACAGGTTTCTTTTTGTTGAAACGTCTTGTTTTGGGTCTTGACGCTTCATTGGACAATCTTTGAAATACGGAGACTCTTGTTGAATTATTCTTAGAGCATCCGCATTCTGTCAACACTGCTTTAATGAGTCTCTCGCAAGCGCAATGAGACTCATTTTCTCTGACAACTCTCTTTCTTGAGTTATCTTTCTGATAGTACAGCTCATCATTATTGTGATTCGAGCAACCTATCTTTCGCTTTTGAACTTTGTTAACATGCACAGGACGACTGGTCGTCGCCTCTGAGCGATCCAAAGTTGAATGTTTAAATCCACCCCCTTGCGGGTGTGGAGTTTTCAGAGGTCCTAAACGAGAGTGAACTGGTATTCTCTCGTTTTGGACTTGTGCAGTTCTGACAGGAGGGTGTTTACGACCCCCTGCATATGAAACCATTAATGGTTTATTTGCCGAACATGGTTGTTCCTTGACTGGGGCTTTGCCTCGATCATCAACTGAAGGACCAAGGCGATCTGCCATTGTTATCTTGAACTTGGACAAATCTGGGCTAACCCAGGGTTCTATTAGTGTTGCAGTAGACGGGCCCGGAATAGATGTTTGCGGCGTTTTTGGCATCCAGACTTTACGATTCTTCGGTGACTTTTCAGACACCGTTTCTTTCTTGGTTCCTTGCGCTTGTTGACGAAGAGCGCGAGTTTGGGCAGCCTTCGCCTTACGCCTTTGTATCCGTTCCTTGAGGGTTGAACGGGCCCTTTTGACGAGAGTCCACTCCTCCGTCGTAAGTTTTGCAGAAATACAATTATTTTGCCGTTGGGGCAATTGAACCGCTTTCTGTTTCCTCGACTCTAGGTCCGCATAGTAATGGACCCCGTCGGTTTGTTGCATGGCCTTAGCCAATTGTCGAGCACGGCGCTGACGCTGTCTCTGACGAGCCCTCTTCGTCAGCACCGGCGAGCTATTCATCATCGACTCCTTAAGGGATGTGGAGTCGTTTGGAGCAGGTATGTTGCAGATGGGTTCCTTAGCAGCAATTGAGTAGGAACCTTTCACCTGCGGTCTTCATTGACACTGCAGACTTGAGCTTTTTCCTAGGAGATGAAACTTTCCTACACTTGCGGGGTGAAGAAAGTTTTGAGGATGAGGATGATAAATACTCCTCAAACTTCGCCTGATCGAATTCGTATTCGATCTCTTCATTGATGATAATCTTGATCGGTTGCGACACCGCGGTCTCGGTAGCGAGACCGCTGGCTCCCACTGTGGTCGCCAGCTTGTTTGGTTCAAAAGTCGCTGCTGTGGAATTCATTATAACTTTGTTCTATTACAACAAATTCGAAAGAATAATCTTTTTATAAGACTTTTTCTACACAACAAAACAAAAATTACAACTCTTGAGAAACAAACACGAAAATCGTCTATCAATTCTCGTTTTCGTGGGACTTTGCCTGTGCCGGGAACGCTTTGGTTCGTGGACCGCCGATTCACAGATCGTGAAGAGGGGGCTTATGATTCTAACTTCGTTATCGAAGTAGAAATTGAAACGATATCTTATCGAAGTAAGATAGTCGTTCTTCTTAAAATCAAGTCGAAGCTTAATTTCAAGGCGTTGCAAGAAAAGAACTCAAATCTGCTCTCTCTCTGCTCTGGAATGCTCTAACAAATGCTCGATCCTCGTCAGAAGTGACCCTAGGGGGGTATTTATAGCCTCAAGGGTCAGTAACTGCAAAAACTTAACAATCGAAGAAGTCAGTACGGCGAGACAGTGTTTACTGTCTCGCTGGGCGAGACAGCGTTTGCTGTCTCGACCCGCGAGACAGTAAATTTGCTGTCTCGCTCAGCGAGACAGTAAATGCTGTCTCGGAAAATGGCAGTTTCTCGCTGTAACTGTTCTCCCACGTTTCAAACTCCGTTATTTTGGCAGTTATCCACGTGATTTTCGCCCATGATGTTTCCCACGTCCCTTGGCAGTTAATGGACACGTGTAGGGCAGTTACAAATGTAGTTTTGACTATTTCAACACTGTCTCGCTGGCGAGACAGCAAAGACTGTCTCGCTGGCGAGGCAGTTCATACTTGTTTTGATTTTTCCAAAACAGTATGAAATCCTTTCTTGTGAATTTTTGAGTGATCTTCTCTATGCTTGGGATATCTATTAGCATTTTTTGACGCCTACAATATGCCATAGGTCATGAGCCAGTTTTAATCATAAGCTGCTTACACGAACCAATGGTCTCCCTATGATATCAAAATTCCAGAGAGATTTATTTAGTTACTTCTTGCACTGTTTCAATCCTATGTTTCAGAACAGAAGTCCCACAAAACCAAACTCCACAATTTCATCATTCCTTCACTTGCCAATAATATTGGTACCAAAACAGAGTGTGATAGTTATTAAATGCTACCAAACCAATCCAATATGCTTGAGTCTCTTCAATATACAAATGACGAGATTTAGCACAATTATGTTGATTTCTTGAAATGGCACAACTTCCCATTACACATGAGGAATAACACAGCAGAAACAGCAAAGGGTCTTATCCCCAAAAATTTTTAGTCACTGTAGGTAGACCTCTTCTCAATTCAGGAAAGTCTTAAAATTTCCCCTTCTGTTAAAATTAGTAATCATTATATTACCCTGCTAAATTTGGTTTTATTCCTAGATCCAGCTCCTGTTCCAACCATTCTCCTCTCTCTCACGCTAAGCCTCGCCTTTACAGTGAATTTCCAAACCATCTCCAAGCCAATTTACTTTAATGAACATGGCCAGTCAATATGCAGCACTCTAATTATAAAGGATTTCAAAAAAGGGCCTGATCAAAATTAATGCATGAGATTGCCAGTCAATATGCAGCACTCTAAATATAAAGGATTTCAGAAAAGGGCCTGATCATTAATGCTTGAGATAAACTCTTGTAGGTCAACAATTTTTGGCAGGTAACACTACATGCAAACAAGGTGCTAATACAAAGACCTATAAGGGTAACTGACAAGATCATATGAACAGACAAATATTTGAATCAATTCATCAAAGTTTTTCCTTTAAATTTCTTTAACTTTCTTGAACTAAAACGAAGTATAGACAAATGTATAATACACAACAATGTAATACATCTGAAGCCAATAATCTTTTGCCAAATGTACATAAAACCTCACAGTTGTGTAATTTGAGAAAGATGACAAACCTCAGTCATTTGTCTGTGTCCGCAGAGCACTGCTCCTGTCGATAAAGGATCTATAATATGCTTGGCCTTAGAAAATGCAGCCTGCAATATATACAAAACCAGTTTCTTACAGGTGATGAGCCTATCAAACACCAAAAAGAGAAAAAAAATATCATTTAAAACCATACACTCCTTACCTGTACGTAGCCTCTTTCGCCTCTCCATAGAGCATCTGGTCGTGATAAAACAGGTACAACTTTAACCCCTGTAGCTTCCCAAGCCTTGAACCTATCCTGAAGGACAAAAGAGAGTAACCGGTAATTAACCTGAATTTATCTTTTGATAACAAGATTAAGATTGCAATCTACACAGGTCATCTTCCCACCTGATAAGCCATTCTCTGGAGATTTCGAGCCCCATAATAAAGTCTCACATCTGATCTTTTACTTGCATTAAAACCAGATTCAATTAGTGAGCGGATCGGACTGCCACAAGAAGGTTGAAACTAGAGATAAGTAGTGGTACTAGAACTACATAAATATCAAAATTACATAGCAGATAACAATTTACCTCTGTTAAACTTGTCCAAGTACATAGAATTACACAACTATTTAGTAATTCCGCTAGCAAAAGGTAAAATTAAGGTGCACTCAAAATACAAGGACAACCCTCAAACACTACAAGAAAATGGAAGAGTAATATGTGTCTCAATTCTATCTACTTCAAAGTGGAAGAATATATATTTACCCAAACTGACAGGAATATTGCAAGATGATTACTCATTAGGTATATATGAGGCCAAATATTGCTTGAGAAAATTCAGATCCAGACTTCTTCTCCTTCTCTTTCTCCCTCCACTCCTCTCTGATCCTTCACTGGTAGGTGTTAATGTGTTATTAAGGGAGAGTGAGCCATATGGTTCCTCATGTTGTTTTGAAAACTTGCTTCGTAAGGTTTTGACATATGAGAGAATAGGGCAGCCATCATTAGGTGAAATAGGACTAATCAGATTAGTTTTTGAGAGATTACACCATCATGAGAGCCACTAAAAGCTATATTTTCTCTACTTTTTTCTCAATATCTATGTCATTTAATTCTAATAGTTTACTCAGATTTTCAGTAACACGTAAGAAATGGGAAAATAAATTCTTGATCTCTCTTTCCTTCCTGCTGGATCTAGGCCTAATAAACAAAGATGTCGGTTGGTTCGCCCCAATTTAGATGATACCAGGAGAAAGACTGAAAGAGACTAAGTTGGAGACAAGGTTGATGAATCTAATAATACTGTATTAAGTATTTATGTTGTCCTGCAATAGGAGGATAAGAACAGTTTTTTTAAGGAATGTAATGGAACTTACTATAGTTAATATAGGCTGGCCTTAATATTGCATTTGGCCAATTGAAGTCTCCGAGTGAGTTACTCAAGTCACTACAAACCTTATCTCGATTTAACTCCATTGTGAACTGCGCTAGAGATTTAATTCATTAACTATTTGTAGATCATCTAATCATGTTTTTTACACTACATATGCTACTATAGCTCTTTATATAACTCATATTGCTCATAACATTCCAGTTCCTATACCATTTTCTAGATGCATTATGCATGTCCGACAAAAGCAAGAATGTTTTCTCATACATATGTTCATGGGACCCCAAACACTTATCACATATCACCAAAATTTCAATTTTACACTTGATAGTCCCTCAAATCCTGAATAAAGAAAATCTAATATTTGGTAAAAACTTAAAATTGTATATTACCTTCTAGAGTTGCTCTCAATTGTCTCAAATTACGGATAGCTTCCACTCCCAACCAAGAACGTCGTCCCAATTAAGCTAACAATTGACTTTCTATTACACAATTCAAAGTAAATTTGAATAATCATGTCCACTATTAAAGCTACATGAGACGCAGGTCATGAAATCGGAAATCAAGTAGTAAAACAATAAAATTTTCTTCATTAATCAGAATTCCACCATAAAATCCAAAAAAAAACCAATCTTTACCAAAAAAATAAATTCAACACGATAATAGTTGCAACAACAAATTCTCTACCCCACATGTTTGGGGTGTGCTACATGAATCCTACTCCTCTCAGTTCTGTTGACAGTCATCTCCTCCACTAAGTTAACCATTAACATATCATTCTTAAAAGCTTCTAACAAACTCATCTTACGCCTACCTCCTATGTAGCACGGACACGGATCCGACACGGCCATCCGACACGCCGACACGAGGCAAATCCTAAAAAATACATAGGATACGTGTGTTCGACACGTGTGTCCGACACGGACACGACACGACACGGCTTCATGTTATGCGTGTGCGTGCTTCATAGCCTACCTCTAGTCCTCCTTTCTCCAATAATATAATCTTCTCATCACTTCTAACTGGTGCATTCAAATGATGTCCGTTACAAAATGATTTTCTCATTTTGTAATCTCTAACCTCCTATAAAAGCACTCCTTTCTCATCCCAGCGTGAACCAAACTATACATAGTAACACTCTGATTTCTGCTACGACATCATAATAATATTCAGAACAAGATCACTTCCAACATTAAAACACCCCCACAAATCAAGGGAAAACACATTATCTTAACAGCTGGCTTTTATGGTAAAATCACCCAAAGATTTCACTTTTCCCAAGAAACATGAAAAGGAAACAGCAGATCCAACCTGATGGCAGACCCAGTGGCGAAGATCAAGACCGTCTCGAGCCCTCGCACCCTCTCCATCTCGAACCCTCTCCCAATGACTCCGCCGACCTCGACCAAATCCCCTCTCCTCATCCCGCAGATTCGCGTCGGCCACCGAACCCGCGATCTCTTCACCAAGAAGCCTCGAAGCTCCCCCCTCGCGCGGCAGCCCCCGCGGCGACGCGATGGCGAGGCACGGCGCCTTGGCGAGGACGGGATCCGGAGGCGGAAGCTACTGTCCGCGGGGTGGTGAAAATAGCTATAACCGGAGAGATCGGGCTGAATGGGAGACGTCGACGGAGATGTGGAAAGAGGGAGGGAGTCGGAGGAAGCGGCTCGACTCGAGTTAAGGGAGTCGGAGTCCATGGAGGGTAGCGGTTAGGGTTAGGTCTTGGCTGACGGGCCGCCGAGGGAGAGAGGAGGCGGCGGTGGGCGGAGGACGGGAATTGAGAGGCAGGAGATTTGGGAGAGAGGAGGCATAGGAGGAGGAAAGGAGGTGACCGCAGACAAGGACAAATTTTCAAAACAAACCTTTTTTAACTTATTTTTAAAAAACGGTATGTTTCAATTTTAATTATTAAAACCGATCTAGTTTCAGAGTCGGTTTTGAAAAAAAAAAGTGCTCAAACTTTACAAAAGTTAAACTCTCGTAAAGTTTTTTTGTTATAGAAGTTTTTTACATAACAAAACTTTACGGGACTTTAGCTCTCGTGAAGTTTGGGAACTTTTTTCCTCAAAACTGACTCAGTTTTAACCCTCAGGTTAAAACTAGATCAGTTTTGATAATTAAAGTAAAAACATATCTTTTTTTGAGAATATTTTCGTAAAAAGATTGGTTTTGAAAATTGGTCTCTTTTTTAAGTGGGAGATTGGGAGACTCGAGAGTGGTTTGGTCTAAGACGGCAGCGAGTGGGAAATTGTGGGTTCAACTCAACCGGATCGGGATGGAGACACCTGTAATGAGATTTTTTTTTTGGTTAATTGCTGTTAGACCCCTGTAATCTGGTTGTTTTGATCTACGAACACTCTAATTTTATTTTTCGCGTGTAAACGCCCTTAGTTAGTGAAATTTACCACGAACTTGCGCGTCATACTATTGCTTCACAGTTGCCTAGCATATACTTCAACATTTCATCGACTATGAAACATTAGAAACTGGGATATACATTAACAAAACGGGAAAATTGTAATTAAATACCATATAATTTCCCACTTCTTGCACTTAAATATAATTTCCCACTTATTGCACTTAAATATCATAGGTTGTATTTTGGTAAAAAATACCATAATGTTTTCAAAGTTTGCATGTTACTACAATCGATCATATGCAAACGTGAAAATTTTCACCCAAGTGTCCTCTATGATACTTACACGCTAATTTAGAGCTTTTGAACTTACCATATTTGTTAAATTTGCTGTTAAATCAACCAAATTTTTTTTAAACCTATCTTAATTCAACTTTAAAATATAAGAGGAGTGTTTCTAACAAAAATTTTAACAAATATTAATGGTTTAAAAACTCTAAAACTAGTATACAAGTATTATAGAGAAATATTCCAGCAACAATTTCCACATTTGCCTAATCAAAGGTAGTAACGTGTAAATTTTGGAAAATTTGTGGTGTTTTTTTGAACCAAAATACAACTTGTTATATTCACGTGCGACACTTGGGAAACCACATGCTATTTAAGTGCAATTAACACTAAAAAAATCGGAAAGAACCTGGCACAACACTCCACACTTCTACGCTCCAAAAATTAACTAAAGAAGGCCGCATCAGATAAATATCAGAAACAATACTTTAAATCTTTCATCCATCAAAAGCAAACTCAATCCGACATTAGAAAATACAATAAAGCTGCAATCAGAATAAGCAACCGTACCACAAACTTTAGATAGAATTTGGGTGAATTATGAAATGCGAGAATAAAAGCGCCTCCAATGCGCCTGCAGTTTCCGTTACATCTCCAAACACAACAGTTAAAAATGTAAACCCCAGGGCATCAATCAATCAACCAATCAATAATCTTTGCCAATGTCCAACGTCAGTGTCTCAATTTTCTGCCTCCAGCTTCCCATTTGGTTCCACTGAATCTTAATGGTGGCCATGGCTTCGGTGACTTTGGTTATGGTCGTGATCATGTCCATGCCGATGATGGGATTTCCGGTTATGGCGACTATGATGCTTGTGATCGTCATCAGAATCTGACATTGACTCATCAGCACTACTTTTTCTGTGACGATGCTTGCGCTTAATCCTGGCCCTCCCTCCCGCAGAATCAGAGGCTGAAGAATCATCGTCTTCGCTACTCAAACCCGACCTGCTAGAGTCTGTTCTTGAAGAGTGATGCCGATGCCTCCTCTTATGGGCCCGTCTCTTCCTCCTTGGTCGATCCTCCTCAGAATCACTTTCGAGCTCGTCACTAGTACCATCACTAGAGCTTGAGCTCCTCTTCTTCGATCTGTGCTTGTGTTTCTTGTGATGAGCCTTCTTCCTGCTATCGCTCTCACTGTCGAAGTCTGATGCTGATGTGGCTGACCTCCTCCTCTTGTGCTTTGAGGCCTTCAGTTTCCTCTTCTCTTCAGCGTCGGCCTCTGCCTTGGCAGCAGCTTCCAACTTCTGCTCCCATTTTAAAGGAGCTTCCTTCTTCTCGAGAACTCTCTTCTTCTTCTCCTCGACGAGTTGCAAGAACTTTTTGCTGTCCATTTGATGATATTAAAAACAAGCGGAACACCTGCATTTTGGTGAGATGATGCAAGGAAGTGCATCTCATAAAAGAGAAGAATCACTGTTAGTTCCTCCACATCTAATACCACAAACCAAATGGAAGAGAATATTAGTTAAAATAATTTTAAAACTAAAGAAGCAATAGCTTGTCATATGCAATTACAGGCATTAAATACTCTTTTATGCAAATGCCCTCAGCAATATGAAATAACATGCATCAATCACTCCTTAGTACCACTACCACACATGCATGAGAAAAAACACACACAGAGGGAGGGGGCGGCAAAAAACGATGATTATGGCAATGGCGTGCACAGGTTTTTCTTTCTTTCCTCTTTTTTGTACTGACAATACAAAATTACAAACTAATGTAAAGAATATAAATAACAAAAATCACGATGATACTAGCAACAAGCCAACTATATCATGACATAGGAAGACACAAACAAAAAAAGTCAACTAATTTATAATTCAAAAATAAACTCCAACATGAACTCACCTTTCTTACCTTATACAAAGTTATCCTCAATTTCACAGAAGAAAGTTGAGATGGTGGTCTTCCCCTTTTCCAACTGAAATATGATAATAAACGTAAGCAAATAAATACTTATCAACATAATTCCTAGGACAAAGATATAATGAGTATTGTCACGAAGAAAATTCATAAAATATACTGACTGTCAAGTATAGAATATAGTGCAAGCAATCCATAACCTTTACCAAGAAAAACTTTTAAATTTGATTTGTTTATGAGGTAATATGAGAATAACATGATCTCATCACTTTTCAGCTTAACAAGAAAAATCTGAAATTCAGATATGTTGTACGGCGTCATTTATTAATTCAAAAGGTTTCATCTTTTTTTATACGGAAATGAACAAAAAGCTGGGAATCATTTGCATATTATATAACAGGAACTATGTATTCCAAAAGTAAGCATTTGAACATGGATGAAGCAGGCAAGTGTGCATTAAGTTGCCATCTATGACACTGCATGATATCGATCACAAAATAGAACTCCAAACTTTAAGATGGCGTAATATTCAGATCATCAAGTCAATTATTGTTTATTACCATACATCAAACTCCATTTATATTAAATACTATCAGAACAATAAAATCAACTCTGAAATCTTTGCTAATAAGAAACACTAATGCCTAATTTAGATCTCGATAGAATAACTGCCCTACATTCTATTTTCCATGATAATAGGCTAGGTAATGGAAAACAATAAGCAGACATGTATCTATTATCTCCAAATGCAGTTAGCTGATTCTCATTTATAATGAAATTAGTGTGAACACCCCGTTACATTAATCCTGGTTTTAACTACTACAGCAATTTTTGATCTTTTGGATTGCTATAGTATCCCGCCTCTGCTGCAATATTTCCGTATGCTACAGTGATATTTTCAAAAAATCAGTGCCCAGTTTCGCGTTTGTTGCTGTAATAATGCTACAACAAATGTATTGTAGTATTTATTGTAGCATGAATAGTGAATCTTAGGTGCTCTCATTTGTATAGAGGAGTAGATTTACATTATGAAGTCAAGGATAGGGCAAACAGAATAATCAAAGATACTATACTATTTTTTATTCTGTTGTATGTTCTACTTCTTTCAAACGCAAAGATTATGTCCAACACTGAATCTAGAACTAGATCCTTGTCGAAATCAAAGAAATTTCCCAGCTGATTAAGAATAAAACCAGACCAGGCAGTCAAGCTAAATTCAAATTATTTTTCGCTTTCATTTTATCTATCTTGCATTTACTTAGGGACTTCGATATTTTCCTATTCTAATCTATTCTCAAAGGTACTAGACTATTTTTCGCTTTCATTTTATCTATCTTGCATTTACTTAGGGACTTCGATATTTTTCTATTCTAATCTATTCGCAAAGGTACTAGACACCTAAGATAAACACACAGATCACAACATCTAAGTCAAAACCCTAGACTTTCAAATTGCCAAGAAAGCTAACGACATTTATTTATTCACGCCAAATTTCAAGGTCTGAAGGTGTGGGGCAACAAAAATCAATTAAACATAAATTAGTTAAACAAATTGTTAATATATATATCCATTTTTTGTTAGGTTAACTTATATTCTTATTAATCTCTTGACTTAATACCTCCGAAATATGCAAAAGGGAGATCTAATGCTTATTTACCTGGTGGTCTTAAAGCACTTACTAGAATTCAAGTAATTAGGATTTCACTTTATTTTTATCTATCTTCCATTTTACCTGGCTGTCTGATATTTTTCTATTTTAATATATCTCCAAAGGTAGCAGACGAAATTTCAAAAGTCATAGATATCAGACAGAAAAAATCAAATTAAACTGAAACCAGTTAAACAAATTGTTAATTTACAACCATTTTAGGTTAGGCCAAAATACATTATTAGAATCATTAATCTCTTGACTTAGTACCTTTCAGATAGGCATAAGGGCACTTTTAACGTTCCCCTGTTAAATATGCCTATTAACGTTAGGTCTTGGCAGGAAAGTGGATGACTAATGACCTAACCACCAATTTTAACTTTTAAGGGGAGAGTAGAAAGTGCGCAAAACACCCCACACTTCCCCAAGGCATACTTTTACAATTCATTTCTTATATACCAAAGAAGCACTTAGTGTTGGGCCAACCTTATGTAGAGGAAGCAGGAACCTTAATACATTTTTTATACAGTAGAAATTTTGATCAATACATTGAAATACTCAAGCACACAACAGCCAATTCATTGAACAAAAACAAAACACCAACATGAGAGAAAATGCAAGTACGGCTAACAGTTTTAAAACCATGCCACCTGTTTGGTTGGCCAAGAAACCAAAGAAAGCAGTTATAGGAAATATATTTCCTATAACGGTTTCCTTTTCCTTGTTTGGTTCACACTATGAAACCAAGTGAAAAGATGATGTGGCACATTACTATCGGATGGTGCGACTAATTTTTAAGGAAACGGGTGCGACTCATTTTTAAGGAAGCCCGTTTCCTAGGTATTTGTAAGGAAAATGGTGGAACCCCATTCTTAATTGTTCCTTAACCAACTTCTTTTTCTTTGATTTCTAAGATAACAACCAAACATCCCCTTAAAGGACAGCCAAGGCGTTCAAAATTTTCAATGCATATATTAATCACAGTATAATTCCACCAATGTTGCGAACATTTCAAATTTTCAATTAAGAAGCAACTCTTAAGGTAGATAAATACTAAGGAACATTTCCATTCACAACATATCATAACCTAGAAAACCAAGATTAGGCATATAATTTATTAATATATTAAAGCAACGAAACAAGGGGATAAACCCCTATAAATCATTCCGAATTAGAAATTCACAATCTTCAAAAATTCTAGACACCTAAAATAGATCAAAAGATCTAAATCCAAACCCTAGACTTTCAAATCGCCAAGAAAGCCCCCAAATGTTCATCAATCCACACCAAATTTCAAGATCCACAAAGATCAAACAGAGAAAATCAAATTAAACTGAGATCATGGAACCCTAGATCGCAAGACACGACGAATTAATTAATGAAGGGGAAAAAATAGAAGTGATGAAACCCTAATTCTTACCTTGATGAGAGAAGCTTCGAGAGAAAAAAAGGAATATTTGCTCCCCTCTCCCTACTCTTTTACGACTCGGCGGGCTCGATTACCGTGCGGGCCGCCCACAGGCTTATTTATAGATTGCTTGCTTTCGGTGTGAGTCTCTTGCACACGTTTGGGGCGTTATGGAGGAGGGTTTTGCCTTTTGAAATGTACGGCGAATGGGCTCGTGACGCGTGGATGGCTAGATTACGGGTCTAACGAGTCTCTGCGTGAAATTAGGAATGATTCGGCCCAGCGGGGGTGCCAGATAGTTAAGACTATCTCCATCAGGAGTCGAAATTTTATCCTTCTCTCTCCTGTCACATCACTTTATTCCCCCTCCACATAATTCAACAATCTCCATTTTCTATCATCTCTACAGCAGGAGTTTTTTCAAAAGATTTTTACTTTATTTGGGACCCACTATAACCCCATCACTCCAACATATATACCCCACCTTATTTATTCATTTCTTTTTCTTATTTCATATATATTACTACTACTACTATTATTATTACTAATATAACTCATTTATTTTGTGAAGGATCCATTTGAAAAGGTTTGAAGAATATAGAAGCAAAAGCAAAGAGAAGGAGAATAAGGTGTTGAAAACTCAGATTTTTTTTTGTCTCCAAATTACACAAGACTACTCTCTATTTATAGAGGTGAAAAAATAAAAATTATTGATATAAAAATTATAAATTAATTCCTAGTATTTATCTCCCAAAATATCATTTAAAAGTTAGGAGTAAAACAAAAAAACCCAACCAATCAAGCCTTGACACATGGCTTGATGGGGGCATTTGATTTACTGTAGCGGGACCCACACGGAGAGAAAAACCAGAGGTGAAAATTTCACCTCTTGGGCTCCGGTTTTGCATTTCACCACCTCAAAACCTACCCGCTGGAGCAAAAAACCCCCCCCAAATATCTCTGTTGGAGATAGTCTTATGACTATTCTATCAATTCTTATCCACCCCCTCTAATGGGCCGAGGGCTTTTTAGCAGGCCTAGTATTATGGCCTTTTTGTTAGCGCCCGAAAAGACTTGTCTTGCTCTGGATCACACCCCACCTCTAATGGGCCGAGTGCTTTCAAGCAGGCCTAGTATTATGGCCTTTTTATTAGCGCCTGGAAATCTAGACTGTCTTGCTCTGGTAGGGAGGGAGGAGTTACAAGACTTTTTCTTGTTTGGTAGTGGGGATGAGAAGGGGAGGTGAGAAAATGAGTTAGTTAAAGTACAACAATACTTTTTTGTTAGAATATTTTTAAAATTATATCAATAAGCTTATATTTTATTTATTAAAACAAAAGATAAAATAAATAAATAGAACAAAGAAAGTATAAAGATTTGGGGGACTAATTTCAAAATACAATGATTTGTAGGGCTTCTTTCAAATTATGTAAAGATTTTCAGGACTAATAAATTTAAAATTTGAAGATAAAAAATAGGAGACTAATTCCAAAGTTTTTAAATTTTGGTGTCTAATTTCGAAGACCCAAATATATGGGGGATGAAATTTATGGGGGATGAAATTTAGAGTTTGGATGAGGATAATATATTTAATTATGTAATTATGAAATATTTTGGAGGATAAAATTGTAATTATAACGTAAATGTCCTCAATCCCCGTGTCTCTTTGATTCGGAGGGATTTTTCTCTCCTTTAACATCCAGTTCATTTTTAGCGCTCTCTCTCTCTCTCTCCTTATCTTACACTATTCTACATTACACTCCCTTCAAAATACCTCCTACCAAAGATAATTTTTTGTTGTTATCCCAATCAAATTAAGTCTAAACCTAAGGCCCCAAGCATTTTAGGGTGTGTTTGACAATCTATAAAAAACTGAGCTAGGATAAGTCTTGACCCAATTTCACTCGAAACGAATTTAGTTTTAGTTTGGATGAGGGGAGTGGTGCTCCAACCTAAAGCCCCTGGTCCAAAATAAAACTAGTTTAGTCAGCTTTTTTTTTTACCGACGGAAATGAGTCAATTTCAATCCTATTTTTTGCCAGAGAAAAAAATATCCAAAACTAGTCCAGAATGACAGGTTTAGTTATGGGTCAATTCTAGAGGGTTGTCAAAAATACCCTTAAGTTCTTAATTTACAATCGTAATAAAGTCTTTCATCCATGCTTTTCAAGCCGATTACACCTTTACATGAGTTGTATTCTTTTCATTCGATTTTGTTAGATTTATCTTATTCACCAAGTTAATCATTATCATATAATTTTTAGTTGCTTTTTGCAAAATTCTTTAAGTCTTAACTTTAATCCTCCTTTCTCCATTAATTACAAGTACTCTGGGGCACACGATGCGTGCATAACAAAAAAAAAAGTGAGGACATTTCGAATGGTTTTTGTGAGGATGAGAGCATTTGTGTTGATCCTCAAGTGTTAGGCATTTTAGTTATCTTTTATCTATACTACTTCTAAAAGAGAAAACAATTGTCAAAACTTTTGCATGCCTATTTTACCCCTTTCAACTTGTTTTATTCTAATTTTATCCCATTATTCATGACTTATCTAGAAAAAACTTTACGAGTCTATAATATTATTATCAATGACCTATTTTACCCCTTTCAACTTATTTTATTCTAATTTTATCCCATTAATAATGACTTATCTAGAAAAAACTTTACGAGTCTATAATATTATTATCAATTAATGAACATGTATTAATTAATAATTAGGGAAAAATGTGTCCAGGCCCCAAAAGCAGAAAGTTCATGTGACCCACCCCCTTGTATTTTGCCCCATGTGATTCAGCCCTAAATACACATTGTATTTGTGTTAAGGCCCCAAAGTACCAGATCCTGAGAAAAACCCAACAAAAGTTACAAATTTACCCTTTTATTTGATTGAGCTTGGTAACTGCGCCCATCCCTTTAACCCCATCCCATCTCTCTCTCTCTCTCTCTCTCTCTCTCTCTCTCTCTCTCTCCACTCTATCTCTCAGCTTCTCCTTCTCTCTCACTTCCGTCATGGCCGCTGAAAATGATCAGACTGAGGAGGTCGTGGAAGGCGAAGGCGAGGACGGTGGTCATGGAGTCGGAGGTCGGGGAGTCATCTTAGAAACAGCTCGTGAACGCGGGTTCAACAACAAACACGGAACATGGTCCGGGGACCCGCGAGCTGACGGAGCCTGGGGCTTTGGTCTGATGCATCGTTGTTCTCCCCTTTCTAGGTTACGGAATATCTTTACCCAAATCAATGTCTTAATCAAGATAGTGCTCTTGTTTTCTTGTAATTTATGAAGGGAATCGATATTGGATTTTTGTAGTTTTTCTCTTTCATTTAATTGAAATGAGATCTCCTTGGATTCTTGAACAGCAGTTTGGGTTTTTCTTTAATGCCTTTTTCTTGTGTGATTTGGTGATTGACAGAGTTTTGTATAAGAGATTAACAGCAGAAATTCAAAAGCTCACATTGAATCTTCAGACATATCGACATTTAGCTAAAAATTGAAGATAATGTGATTAAAAGTCGACTAAAGAATCTAAGAACCTGTGAATTTGAAAGGGGGGTCAAGGAAAATTAGAACTATAAATGTTAGTTCTAAGGGCTGTTATGTTAGTTCTAAGGGCTGGAATGTTAGTTCTAATGGCTAGAACTAACAAAGAGCCCAATGTTAGTTCTAAGGGCTGTTATGTTAGTTCTAAGGGCTGGAATGTTAGTTCTAATGGCTAGAACTAACAAAGAGCCCAAGAGCCCCAAGGCCCAAGGCCCAATCAAAGACCTTTAAATATATATCCAATCAAAGACCTTTAAATATATATTGTAGTTGCATGGGCTTGAACTCCTAACCTCCTCTCCAAATTCCCAAGCTTTACCACTAGACCAAGTAGCCAAAGTGTTAATGTTAGTTCCACTTAAAGTTAGCTCTTACTTGCCATTAGAACTAACATAAAATAAGTTAGAACTAACATGAAAATAAGTTAGAACTAACATGAAATAAGTTAGAACTAACATGAGTTAGCTATTGATAGAGTTTAAAAAATGGCATAAATAACTAGAGTTAGCTCATGTTTGTTCTATCGAAGCTCATGTATAAATTAGAACTAACTTGTTATAAAATAGAACTAACTTGCTATAAGTTAGAACTAACTTGGGATAAATTAGAACTAATGTGGTTAAAATTAGAACTAACTTGTTATAAGATAGGACTAACTTGATATAAATTAGAGCTAACTTGTTATAAAATAGAACTAACTTTGTATAAATTAGAACTAATTTGTTATAAAATAGAACTAACTTGGTATAATTAGAACTAACTTGGGATAAATTAGAACTAATGTGGTTAAAATTAGAACTAACTTGTTATAAGATAGGACTAACTTGGTATAAATTAGAACTAATTTGTTATAAAATAGAACTAACTTTGTATAAATTAGAACTAATTTGTTATAAAATAGAACTAACTTGGTATAATTAGAACTGACTTGGGATAAATTAGAACTAATATGGTTAAAATTAGAACTAACTTATTATATGAGATAGAACAAACTTTGTATAAATTAGATATAACATGGTATAAAATAGAACTAACGTGGTATAATTTAGAACTAACTTGTTATAAAATAACGCTTAATGTGGTATAAAATAGAACTAACTTGCTATAAGTTACAACTAACTTGGTATAAATTAGAAGCAACGTGGTATACACTAGAACTGACATGAACTGCGACAGAACTAACATGGTGTAGATTAGAACTAACACGCTACAAAATAGAACTAACATGGTGTACATTAGAACTAACACGCTACAGAATAGAACTAACACTGTGCAGATTAGAACTAACACGCTACAGAATAGAACTAACACTGTGCAGATTAGAACTAACACTCTACAGAACGGAACTAACACTGTGCAGAATAGAACTAACACTCTACAGAATAGAACTAACACTGTGCAGATTAGAACTAACACTCTACAGAACGGAACTAACACTGTGCAGAATAGAACTAACACTCTACAGAATAGAACTAACACTGTGCAGATTAGAACTAACACTCTACAGAATAGAACTAACACTGTGCAGATTAGAACTAACACTCTAC